CTGTGGTCTGGTGGGTCTACTCTTCAACATAGTTTTCCCAGGTCATAGCCTTTGCCTTTTCCATGGCTAGACAGGAACGCATTAATAGTCTGTGTTAGGCTATCCACAATGGGATTGGCTACTTTCACCATTTCACTAGATTTAAAGTGAGCAGGCTCAGAAACAGAAATTTGGGGATTTTACCACAAGCAAGAAAGCAGCAGCAGGGAGTGACGTGTTTATCCTTCAGCACCACTCAGGCGAAGATGTGCATAAGAGAGCGACAACAGCCACAGCAGTGAGCCTTTAACTGACATGAGACAGGCCTGACATGGGACTGCTGCCCCTGGAGCCAGAGCCTTCACCCACGCTGGCTGGAGGACTGAGGGAAGATGCCACAACGGGGAGGGTGAAGGGAACCTGGTAATGCTGACTAAGCCATGAGGCTACAGTTAAAGGGTCTGTGGATACACTGGAGAAACTGGACTGAAGAACTAGACACTTGAGAAGATGGAGGACAAAGGTCATTTTTTTTGCAGTTGCTGTGAGTCTGATTCGATGACATTGGATTTAGTTTATAAAAAATGCTGTACAACGTGGGAGATCAGAATAAATGATAAATATTTTGAGTTTAAGGTCACTGAGAAAGTTTATGTTTAATATAATTATCACTTACTGAGAGGTATTCATTTGGTTATATCATATAAGATTGGCAAGGGATAGAGGAGGGTTTGGGGCTGTTGTACACAGGGTCTCCATGAGTCGCAGGCAACTCAATGGCACATAACAACAACAACATATACAATTGCTAATAGCTCCACTACCATGAGACCAAAGAATTAGATGGTGCCCAGCTACCACTGCAGGCCATTCTAAAAGGGATTACAATATGGACAGAATGGAAGAAAAATGCAGAACGCAATTCTGAATCTTAAAAATTCCCTGATTTTGTTCATCTGCTAGAGAACGGTGAAACCGCCACGACCTTGTCATCCTTTGAACCTGGAACTAAACTCACTGCTGTGGCTCACCTTTCATTTCAAAACCAGATAGGCCTTTAAGGTAAGTATAACACTGGGAAAGGACTCCTCCTCAGAACAATCCTTAGATCAAGTACAAGTTCAAAATAGTGGTGTTTACCCAGGGATTAAAGCTCAGAAAGCCAGAGGGCATAAGATAGAAGAAAGACAAAAGGTAACAAGAATCACAGAAAGGAACTGCGAAGAGTGATATTGTAAAGCTGCTATTGTTGTTGTTACGTGCTCTCGAATAGTGAGCTCTGGTGGCCCTAGTGGTAAGAAACTGCGCTGCAATCCCACCAGAGGGTCAGCTCTGGGTCGGTTCTGATTCAACAGTACACAGCAACCCAGGAATAAAGTTTGGAAAGCCAGAGGGCACAAGATAAAAAGATAAATGGTAATAAGAATCACAGGAAGGAATTGGGAAGACTGATGTTATAAAGCTGTTGTTGTAATGTGCTCTTGAGTCACATATGATTCATAGTAACCCTATAAAAAACAAATCTGAACCCTGTCCTGTCCTGCGCCATCCTCATAATTCCCTACACACTAGACCACACTGCTGCAGTCACTGTGGCAATCCATCTCACTGACGCCTTCCTCTCTTTCACTGACCCTTCACCTTTCCAAGTATGATGTCCCTTTCCAAGAAATAACCTCTCCTAACAACATGCCCAAAGTATCTGTGACGTAGCTTTGCCAGCCTTGCTTCCAAGGAGTACTCTGGTTTGTACTTTACCCAAGACATTACCTGTTTGTTCTCTTGGCAGTCCACAGAATATTCAGAGCTCTTTCCAACACCACAATTCAAAGACATGATTCTTCTGTCATCCTTATTCATTGTCTAGCTCTCAGATGCATAACAGGTGATTGGAAAGACTATGATGTGAACCAAGTTCATCTTTCTTTAAACTGACATCATTGCTCTTGAGAACTTTGGAGAGGTACCTGACAGTAGAATGTCCCAAAGCTATATATCTCTTAATCTCCCGACTGCTGATACCAAGGATGTTGATTGTGGATCCAGGTGAGCTGAGATCATTGGCAAATTCAATCTTTCCTCCAACTATTACAATGTTGTCTATAGGCCCTGGGGTGAAGATTTTTGTTTTCTTGATGTTGAGATGCAATCAATATTGAAGGCTCTAGTCTTTGATCTTCTTCAGCAAGTCCTCCTTGCTTTCATCAAGTAAGGTTGTGTCATTTGCATAATGCAAGTTGTCAATGAGTTTTCCTCCAATCCTAATGCCACATTCTGCTTCCCAGTTATTGTTGTTGTTATGTGCCATCGAGTCGCTTGCGACTCATAGCAACCCTATGTACAACAGCCCTAAACTCTGCTCTGTCCTGTGCCAATCGCACTGTCTCTGACACTCCCATCCCAATTATCCCAGTCACTGAATCAATCCACCTCATAGAGGGCCTTCCCCTCCTGCGCTGTCCCTCCACCCTACCAAGCATGATGTCCCTCTCCAAGGACTGGTCCCTCTTTACAACATGCCCAAAGTATGTTAGACTGAGTCTCAGAATCCTTGCCTCCAGGGAGCCACCCAGTTTAACCCTTTCCAGGATGAATCTGTTTGTTTTCCTAGCAGTCCACGGTACTCTCAATACTCTTCTCCAGCACCACAACTCAAAGGCATCAACTCTCTGATACATAACAAGTGATAGCAAAGACCATGGCTTGTATCAGACGCACCTTAGTCTCCAGAGACTAAGATTCCCAGAATCTGCTTCCTAGAGTCCAGCTTTTTGAATGATTTGCTCAGCATACAGATGAAAAGGTATGGAGAAAGGATACAGCTCTAATAAGCCCCTTTATTGATTTTAAAGTATTCGGTGTACCTACAATTGGGTTTTCTGAAAAGTCATTCTTATTCTGTGGCTGAGGTCAATATTAAGTCAAGCAAATGTGTCTAGTAACTAACAAGAATGGGTTAGTTGGTAATATTCTTGCCTTTGATAACAATGGGGAAAAAATACTCAAAAAAGGGAACCTAGATTGTGGCGTGAACAGCCCTTCAGAGTATGAATGTCTGGCCTTTCCCTCTTGCCAGCCTGTGCCAATGAACGCAATCCTCCTCCAGAGGCGACCTGCCAGTGAGCCTCAGCCAGAGTCCTGCCGAGAGGCTGAGGCTGAGCAGAGTTGATCTTTTCGTTGTCATCCTGTGAGCTCCACCACTGACCAGGCGTCATTTGCTCAGTTTCAAAGGATGCTTGCCTGTGTTCCAGAATCATCTCATGCTTCTTCTAACCACAATCTAGGAATAATCCCCCATCTTTCAGCTCAGGACCTGTATAAACATCATTATGCTTCCTTCTCCACGCCCCAACAGAAGATTAGAAATATAGGCTCCTTGATGGGTGACAGCGGAGAAGACCGGGACACGCTGGGGTATGATATTGATGTGAGCTGAAATTGAGAAAGCATTATCCAAAGAAGGCAGAATTATTTGGAAACAGTTTTAAATCATCCACAGATGAATGGACTACCCCATCACAAATTTAAAGGGTGGCATGTAACAGGCAGATTAACATTACAGCTGGGAGACAACTTGAAGACCATTTAGTCCCACTGTTCCATATTCACAGATGAAAACCAGAGATGGGATTTGACTTGCTTAATCAGTCAAACAACTGCCTGCTTATTCAGTTAAACGATCAATGCCTCAACTAAAGCCAGAAATAAGCTATCCTGCATTCATTTATTTACTCATTACCATTGTGGTGGAACTAACTCATAGAGGACTCTCTGTTGGGTTTCTGACACTATAAATTACACAAGAGGATACTTCTTATCTTTCTCCCAAGGAGCCATTGCTGTATTCTAACTCCCAGAGTGATACAGCCTTGGGCTAACTGGACTAGGTCATCACAGCTCCCTAGAAGATGTCCTGAGTCAGTTTAAGACTCTCTTCACTGCACTGGAGTCAATTTTGACTCCTAACTGACTCTCCACCAGATTTTTGAGGCTGTAAATCTTTACAAGAATAGATTGTTCACCTCTCTCTCTCTCTCTGTCTCTCTCTCTCTCTGCACAGCTGTTGGATTCGAACTGCTGGTCTTTCAGCAGCTAGTCATGCAACACACTAAGCAAGCAGAGCTCCTCCCTTCACTGCACAGCACAGGAGCTCTTCATTTCAAGATGAATTTTCCATTATCTTTCCCAGATTGTCAAATTATATGCCTCTACTAAATGCACTAATTCATACGTTCTTGGAAATTCAAATTCAAAGATTCACAGTAATACCAATGTAAAATATTTATTTGATTAAATGTCAGTTATTTCTATAAGGTACAATGAACTTATTTTTTAAAGTGTTCCTTTTTCATGTCTGTGAAAGAATCTTAACTACCTATGAGACATTTTCTTTCACACAGACTATAGGACTGCTCCGGTTAGCTCACAGATTACTGAAATAGAGTGGCAGAATGCTTTTAATTTTGTTGAAGAGAGTCCTAGAGAATCTCTCCTTGTGATAAAGCAAGAACTAGTTATTCCTTATAGCTGTGCCAGCATTCTTCTGATCATCTTCTGTGACACGTCATTAGGATTTCTGTAGAGGGAGAAGAGAGGTGGCATCCGATTGCTCAGCAGTTTTCTAATTATCAGTCTGTACTTTATGGAACACACACACACACACACACACACATGCACCCTCCCTATATTTAGATGTGTTAGTTGGTGCCTGCATGCCACTCAGCATTATGACAACAGCAGAACTCATTAGATGACATTGTCTACACTTATTTTCCATGGGGTTCTGTTTCATTTTTAAAGATACGAATTTTTTTTTCTGGATAAACATTCATTTTCAGCACCAAGAGATCATTTTGTTAGCAGCTGATAAACTCCAAAGACTTCTATTACAGAGCTGTTGGTGGATCATTCAAAGAAAACTTTTGTTCACAGGATGCAAAGATATTTAAAAAATGAGCATTTTTTAGAAATAAAAATATATGATTCTCAGATTAATTCTTGATTAACATTGTATACTCTTGCTAACATTTTACACATTGTTTCTGTTCAACCAAGTTGAGAACTTCATGAATAAGTTGAGTAGTAGGTTGGCTAATAGGGTAACACAACGGGAATCTTTTTTCCAGGGTTGGCATGTGAATAAAGTACCTGCAAATGATAAAAAGTACAAAATAGCTTTTAAAATGGGAATTTTCCCAATGGTCACCTCAATATATTCATACTCACTGAAAAAGGGCTGTTTGGGGATAAGAGAGTCTAGGCTGCATGACTGAGCTGGCATCTTCAGCTCCCTCATTTGTGACCAAGAGAAGCTCTAATCAGTATGCCTTTCACTGAAGCACCTTACATCAGCAAAGGAATAAATGTCATTAATAAAGTAGAAATCACCAAAATGTTAACAAAGAAGCCTGCAACACCTTCACCACAGCGTGGACTGAGGGGTCAGCTTGCTGGTTTCTTAAGACTATACACAAGGGGGAGTGGAAATGGAAAGGTCGAGCTCTGGTGACCACAAGGGACAAGTCAGGAGGTGAAGGGATAGGGTTTTATCCTCATGACTCTGTAAAATTACAGACTTGTCCCTTCGTGCTCTCTGAATGGGTCCTCTTAACCCGGTTTTTCCACTTCCTTGATGCTGCTCGCTCGCTCTCTTTAAGGAAGTAAAATCTACATAACATAAAAGTCACCATTTTAAAGTGTACAGCTCAGTGATTTTTTTTAGTACATTCATATTATTGTATAACCATCAATGCTTATCCAACTTCAGAGCATTTTTATCAACTCCCAAAAAGGGAATCCTGACCTCCTTAGCAGTCATTTCTCATCTCTTTCCTTTCCTCCCCATAATTTTGCATCCATTTTCTGTCTCTATGGATTTTATCAGCTTTGAAGTGGGGGCCTGAGGTTACACAAATTTTTTTCACAACGTAAATACTTTTTATCAATTGAGTTGTAGGATACATACTACAAAACTACAAAATGGACGAAGCTTGGAAATTTGCTAAGTGAAAAACCCTACATACCAAATTATTATATTTATGTAAAGCTGATAAAATCCATAGGAAGTGGAAAAACCGGGTTAAGAGGACCCATTCAGAGAGCACGAATAAACCCTTTTATGGGAGCTGTAGTAGGATGTGTAGTGTAAAACTGCTTGGAGTGAAAGCAGGGCCCACAAAGCAGGTTTACATTTTTAAAAAAGGTCATTCTCGAGTAATTATGTCTGCATGCAAGCTAGTGGCAGAGCTATACCTCTGGCACCCTTTTCCTCTCATAACAGACAAAACACGGTTTTAGTCCTTACCCTTTGCCATCTAGTAGGTTCTGACTCAAGATGACACAAGGCTTCCAAAGCTGTAATGTGTACGGAAGCAGAACGCCTCATCTTTCTCCTGCAGAGAGGCTGGTGGGCTGGAACAGCTGACTTTTCAGTTAGCAACTGCATACCTGAATCCTGTACCACGGAGTCCCTTAGGGGTTCTTTTTTTCCTTTTAATATCAGGCTTTTATTGCTAAGTGCATGCACTTGGGCAGGGAGCTCTGGTGCCCTAGTGGTAAGAAGCCGAACTGCAATCCCAAAAGCACACGTTATGAATCCATCAGGCGCCCCACGGGAGAAGGATGGGCAATCTCCTCCTGTGGGATGAAACTGCCTTGGAAAATCCGCTGTAGGGTCAGCTATAATTCAGTTCCAACTCGATGGCACACAACAGCAATAACTAAAAATAAGAACCGCTGGGGTGTAGGAGCACAGGGGAGCTGATGAAACAAAATGCTTGCCTCTGTTCTTACTGGTACTCAAAGGGAAGGATAATGAAACAAAAACTAAGGATTATGTTACTTGTTCCTGATTTATCAATAGTTTTTTCCAATAACTCAGGTGAATTCACTGTACATAATGTATCATCCATTTCAGCAGGATTACCTTCTCTTAATTCCTCAACAGCAGGTTAGAATCGTTACTGCTTCTGTTGAGTTGCTGGCTGCCAAACACAATGAGTGAGAAACAGTTCACCAAAGAGAATTTGGTGTTTCTCTCTGGAAACATAATTTTCAGGTCTGGAAATATAATTCAAGTGGTATTGGCTTTTAAAGCTTCCTCCAAATTCGACCTTACCCCAGATCAAAGTGAAACATTGTTTAAAACAAAAAAATAGAATTCATCAGCATCATGCCTGTGCTGAAGGACAGGGATCCCACCTGTGATAACCCCTGCAGGTCTGTTCGAAAATCAGAGGGGGAGTTTTGCTGCGTGGTAGAGTCTGCCCTTCTTACCTGAATTCCTCTCTGTAGTCACTCCTAATATACTCAGCTAGGGTCTTGCTGTACTGCAGGCAGCTCTTGAGGATGTAAAACTGCTGGTACATCAGAACCGCTTGGCATGGGCTTAGAAGCTGAAATGAAGCTGACAGCCCCTTCACCACTTGTTTCACAATATTGGCCACAAAAGTGATCTAAACAAGAAAATGGAGTTACATGAAAGCTGCACATCACCCATTATTGTGTTAGGTGTCACTGAGCTGGGACTCAGAGTGACCCCTACATACAACAGAAAAGAATACCCTACCCAATCATGAGCTATCTTCATGCCTACTTCAGCTGGGGTCTCAAGTATAAACCTGGGCTGAAGCTTTATGGCCCTTGCACCAATGCCTATGCACCATTTCTCTTCAAACTGTTACCTGGAGAACCCCAGAACATAACCAGTTAGGTTTACCAACTGTCTCTCCACAGGGTCAGAACTAGCACTGACTCTCAAAGAAGTTTGGCTCCAAGGAGGAAAAAAACTGTTAAAAACAAGAGGACAGAGGATGAACCCAGATAGCTCTATAGTCTTCTCCAGGGCAAGGAGACTGTTTCTTTACCAACGGCAGAAACAAACAGCCCACAGGTTTCTTACAGCATTGTGATTCTCAAACTTTAGTACTGACACAGAAGAATCATCTAAGAAATTTAGTAAAATTGCAGAATCCTAGGTCCTACCCTACAGATATTTCCATAAATAATACTGATGAATTTGTCTGTAGTCCATCTTGAGAAGCACTTCTCTGAGATAGCAAAGAAAATCAAGTCTGAAACAGGAAAAAATAGCTGAGGTTTCCATCAAGATGTGTTTTCTGAGGGAGCAAATCAGTGGAAAAAATAACAGTGTTGTAATGTTATTGTTAGGGATCGTTGAATTGAGTATGACCCATAGTGACCCTATGAACAACAGATCTGAAGCCTGTCCTATCCTGTGCCATCCTCACACTTCCCAACACATCAGAGCCCACTGCGACAGTCACCATGTCAATCCACCGGGCCGAGGGTCTTCCTCTTCTTGGCCGACCCACTACCTTTCCAAGCATCATGTCCCTCTCCAAGAATAGCCTTGCCTAGTAAAATGCCCAAAGTATGTGAGGTGAAACTTCATTTTTTTTGTCTCAAAAAAGCATTCCAAGACCCTTTCAAAGACATATTTGTTTGTTCTTTTGGCAGTCCATAAGATGTTTAGCGCTTTTCTCCAACACCACAACCCAAAGGTATCAACCAACTCTCAAATGCATGGCAGTGATCAGAAAGACCATGGCCTGACTCATATACACCTTAGTCCTCAAACTAAAATCATCTCCTAAATAACTTGGAGATGTCCCTAACTGCAGACTCTCCAAGTGCAATATGTCTCCTGATTTTCTGTTAACCGTGGATTCAAGTAAAATGAAGTTGTTTACAGTTTCAACATTTTCTTCACCCATCTTGATTTTGCCTATCTGTCCAGTGGTAAGAATACTTGTTTCCTTGACATTGAGACACAATCCATATTGAAGGCTGCCTTCTTTGATCTTCTGCAACAAGTACCTCAAGTCCTCCTCACTTTCAGCAAGCAAAGTGTCATCTGCATAACACGTTATTGATGAGTCTCCCTCCAATGCTGATACCACATTCCTTTTCATAGAGTTCAGCTTCTTGAATAATTTGCTCAGCATACAGAATGAATAGGTATGGAGAGAGAATACAACACTGACACTCTCTATTCTTAATTTTGAACCATGAAGTGTTCCCTTGCTCTGCTCACACAACAGCCTCCTGGTCCAGGTATAGGTTCTGCATGAATGCAATTAAGTGCTCCAGGATTCCCATTCTCCTCAGTGTTAGCCATAACTTGTTATTATCCACACAGTCAAATGCCTTTGCATAGTCAATATATAAATAGATTTTCTTGTGGTATTCTTTATTTCTGCCAGAATGTATCTGACATCAACGATATTCTGGTGCCACAAAATCTTCTAAATCCTCCTTGAACTTCTGGCAGTTCCCTATCTCTGTATTGTTCTAGCCATTTTTTAATGATCTTCAACAGTATTTTGCTTGCATGAAATATTAATGATATTGTTCAATAGTTTCCACAACCTTTTGGATCACCTTTCTTGGAAATGGGAATATGGATCTCTTCCAATCCTTTCGGCAGACAGCTGTCCTTCAAATTTCCTGGCATGGACCGGTGAGCGTATCCCAGGCTGCACTTCTTAACTGAAACAAGTCCATTGGTATCCTACTAATTTCTGGGGCCTTATTTTGTGCCAATGCCTTCAATACAGCTTTCACTTCTTTCCTCATTGCCATTGACTCCTGCTCATATGATACATCCTGAAATTTTTCAGTGTCAGTCAGATCTTCTTGGTGCAGTGATTCTGTGTATTCTTTCCATCTACTTTTGATACTTTCTGGGTCCTTCAATATCTTGCCCATAGCATCTTTCAATATTGCTACTCAAAGCTTAAATTTGTTTTTAAGTTCTCTCAGCTTGAGTTCTTACCTTTTTATTCTCCAATTCCACCTCTCTGCACATTCCATTATAATATTTTGCTTTGTCTTCTTGAGCTACCCTTTGAAATCTTCTGTTCAGCTCTTTTATTTTGGTTTGTTTTTCCTTTATTTTGGCTTCTCGGTGCTCTAGTACAATTTTTAGAGTCTTCTGACATACATTTCTAGTTTTTTCATTTCACCTTTGTCTTTGTTATTTTTTTCATGGATGGTATCCTTTATATCATCCCAAACTCATCCAGTTTTTGATCACTTATGTTTAATGCCTCAAACGTATTCTTAAAATGATCTTGAAATTTAGCTAGTGGAGTTATAAATGAAATTGTCAGTTTTTTGTGTTTGGGGAGAACATTGTTATAATTGGTATAACACTTGACTGTCAGTTTGCTGTACCAAGATAACTTATGGGTTGCTGTGATAGTGAAAGCTATGCCAGTGGTGAGGCAAATGCCATTAAGATTACCCAGGGTGGATAGATTTTAGTAGAGCTACCAGATTAAGGCAGACAAGGAAGCAGGATTGGCCATCCACTTCTTAAATAACAGGTCTCTGAAAACCCTGTGAACAGTAGAGGAACATGGATAGTTATAGTAGTGTAGTGGCAAAGCCTAAACTAGAAGTCAGTTGAAATAAGAAAAAATAATGGCAAACATTGTTTAATAATTGGAAGATGAAATGAACATAGCCTGACTGTTGGAAAATTGGAAATTGTAAAAAAATGAAATGGCACAGGCTATAAATAGACACTTTGCCAAAGAAGACATTCAGATGACAAACAAACACATGAAGAAAATTCAAGAATCTCTAGCTCTCAGAGAGATGCAAATCAAAATAATTATGAGATATCATCTCACTCCAGTAACAACAGCAAAGTTCAACAGAGCAGCAAATAACAAATGCTGGAGAGGTTGTGGAGAGACTAGAACTCATACTCACTGCTTGTGGGAGTGTAACATGGTGCAACCACTATGGAAGGCGGTATGGTGCTTTCTCAAAAAAGTTGGAAATAAAGTTACAATTTGACCCAGCAATTCTAGTACTAGAAATATACCCAAAGGAAAACAGCTGTCATCCAAACAGATATATGAACTCTCATGTTTACTGCTGCATTATTCACAATAGTGAAGAGATGGGAGCAACCCAAGTGCCCAACAAAAAATGAATGGATAGAAAAACTCTGGTATATTCACACAAAGGAAAACAACACAGCAATAAAAAAACAAGGACTCATAAAATATTACACAACATGGGTGATCTTGGAGTGAAATGCTGAGTGATCTATCTCAGTCATAAAAGGGCAAATACTACATAGCACCACTCTTATAAAACCAGTTTTACACAGGAGTTAAGGGGAACAAAAAAGGGGGGAGTAAATAGCTGCATTGGAACAGATTAAGGAAAGAACTGTTTAAAAGGAATTTTTGGGGAAGGAGGAAATGGGAAGGATCTGAACCAAAAGACAGGGCAATGATGGGTAAGGTTCAATCGTGATCAATTTTATAAAACATAATATATGATAATGATTATATGAAACACAGTGTGAATGAAGAGTCGTTGAAACACAAGTATACGAACTTTGTAAACAAACCAATTTTTTTAAAGGGAATATATAATAAGGCCTTATTTGTATGACAACAATCCAGAATAAGAGGTGCATAGCAAAGTGGACTGAGGAAGGTGGGGTGGAGAGAGGAAATTATGCAACAATGAATGAATTTTTTTTAAGTGAACTGGGGGTGGTAGGAGGAAAATGTAACAATGAATGAATGAAATAAAACTTTTCTGTAAACTCTTATTAAAATCACAATAAAAAAAATAAAGAACACTTTAAAAATAGAAAGAAAAATGGTTACCGTATGGGCTAGAAGGTTTTATTTCTCCAAAATAAAAGTTCATAGATTATCCCTAGTAACATACTCCTATTTCTTCCAAAGAAGGTCTGTTTAATGTAAATTTTCTTTCTTAAGTTACATATAGCTAATAATTTTTTACTAGCTAGTGATTTAATACACTGTTTTCTCTGTGTAGTTGCTGTTGTTAGAGCTATTGAGTTGTATCTGCCCTACAGCATGTACAACAAATAAAACCCTTCCCATCTTGTGTCATCCTCACAACCCTGCTGTGTTCAGCCCATTGTGGCAGTCACTGTGTCAATCCATCTTGTTGAAGGTCTTCCTCGCAGTCGCGGACCCACCACCTTTTTAAGCATGAAGTCTTCTCCAGGGACTGGCTTTTCCTGAGAGGATGCCTAAAGTATGTGAGATGACGTCTCACTACACTTGTGGTACAGTGGTGCATCTGTTATTCTAAATGGCTTTACTAGGCCATTGCTCTTGACTTTTCCACATGGCTGAGTGGGAACATGCAAGTAGAATATGTTAA